CAGTGTGAGGATCTGTAAATACGTAACTCCATTACTTTAGAGGAACTAGCGCCAGAGCATTGACAGCTGGGAACCTTGGATTCCCAGCTGTCAATGCTCTGGCGCTAGTTGCAAATCTGGGTTTTGTGGAGTCGTCATTCCTCACTCCTGTTGTAGCTGTAGACCTGATTCCAATGCAGTCTTCTTTATTCACTCTTGTTCTAGCCCCAAATCTGGCTCCTGTGGTGTCTTAATTATATTTGCTCTTTTCGCTTCCTTAGAGCTGTTCCTTTGAGTTTCATTTTGATTCTTTGAATACTTTATCATAGGATAGCTATGTATTTTAGGTAAAACATTTTTTATGCAATATTACTGTAATATTTATGTAAAATAATAAATTTTATTTTTATTTATTTACTTATTTTATTAACATCTTGTAATCAAGAGCTGTTAATGTCTCTTAAATCTTCTTTAGAATTAGTATATATTTCTTTATAAACATAAATTTTTCTATCAAATATATTTTTTCAAGGTTGCAGAACAAAATGTGGACTCTACTGAATAGAAGAACCTTAAGCGATATTTGTTATCATTTTAGCAAATTAGATAGAAAAAGAAAAATTTTCAGTATTGTTAGCAGATATTTCCTGTTCTTTGGGATATGCCTCCAATCTAAAAATTTACACTCACTTCCAGAAGTTAAGCACGGAGAGGAAAATGCTAATTTCAGGAAGCCAAGCAAAATTGAAGAGAATGAAATTCGCTGCAGAGAGAAGTATGCAAATATGTTAGGCAACAGTCAATCGCGCTTCATGTCAAAAAATACACTAAAAAGGCAGTCTTATAAGAAGCCAGCTTTATGAAGGGTTACAGAAGTTGATTATAAGTGTTGATAGAAGGTGTTTAAAACTTTTGTACAATTTGTTTTCAAGACATACGTGTTTCTCTGACTTCCAGAAGACGAATGTTTGATTCTGAGCGTTGGCATGCTGTGGGGCACATTGAAGCAGAACAGTCGATCACAGATGTTGCTCTTTCCTTCGGCGTTCATCATTCTGTAATTTCACTTTTATGGAAACAATTCCAAACTACACAGACAGTTGTCCAAAGGCCCGTAGCCAGTCGTCCAAGAGTTACAAGTCCCGCGGAAGATCGATATATTGCTATTGTAGCCAAGCGGAATCACAGAGCGACCTCCACACGCAAGACATCTATGGTTACAGCATCCATTTGTAAGGCGATATCTGCAGCTACTGTGCGCCGAAGATTACATATGAGTGGACTGTATGCCCAGGTACTTCGAGTTCGTGTTCCTCTATTCATCCAGTCAAGAGGGCACGATTGCAGTGGTGCCGGGAACATGTCATTCGGAATGTGTCTGACTGGGGCAATGTCATGTTTACTGATGAGTCAAGATTTGTTCTGGAGCCAGATGACAAGCGTATAAGGATGTGGCGTGAACAAGGAACATGCAATCAGTCCCAAAATGTCATGCATTCTGAAGCAGAAAAATTATGGTGTGGGCAGGAATTTTTTAGGATACCGCACCGACCTGCTCATCTTTAAACGGGGTTCTTTGATGGCTGTCTGGTATGAAGATGAAGTCCTAGAACCCATTGTGAGATTGTATACTGCAGCAGTGGCCCTACTTTTGTTTTAATGGATGATAATGCATGTCCCCATAGAGCTGACATCGTCGATGACTTCCTGAAGAGTGAAGGGATTGCACGTATGGCATGGTCAGCATATTCGCCCGACCTTAATCCCGTTGAAAACCTTTGGGAGCTCTCGGCCGTGCTGTATCTTCACGTTTCCCACCTCCAGCCACTCTTATTGAGCTGGAAACTGCTCTACTAGAAGAATGGCGATTGCTTAATTCTGCGGTGGTTGACCACCTAATTGAAAGCATAGTCACAAGGTGTAAACTTTGTATACAGATGAGGAGGGATCACATACCCTATTAATGTCCGTTTTTTTTTTCATTTTATGCTGTTTATTTTCACTTTATACATAATTCTCTTTAAGTCTTCAGTATGCCATTATCTGATAACTTACAAAAATTTAATATTTTCATTTCTGTATATAATTATTGATTTCGTTTTATGCATAAAAATATATGCTACTTTCCTGCCAAATTTTGTGTCAATCAAAGCAGTATTTATTGATTTTTTTTTTTTTTTTTTTCATTTTACATCTTTGTGCTTACTTTTGGAAGTGAGTGTATTTTTACACTGTGCTTTGTAGCAGCAATAAAATATAAATTATAGTAATAAAATAATATAATCTTTGACAAAAGTGAGTTTAGTTTTCATTATTTTTTTAAGTTTTAGCATTTTTTTGATTCAAAACTTTTATTGTTTTATGTAAAAATGTGTTTTTAGGGAATTTCAAAAGTACAATTGAAAGAATTTAGTTCAGAGTGGAAGTGGTGCTTTTTGGTTGAGTTGACTCCAGTGATACCTCTCCTTGTTCTCTTCTTTCTGCTTCCCCCCCCATTTCTGCACATCGCTTTAGATCCACGCTTGTTCCGAGTGCATTCATCAAGGTCATTGTTAGTGAGCGGTGAATCGTTAAAAAGAGCTGATTTACTTCTGCGAGTAAATGATTCCGGTGTAATGCCTTCAAGGAGCGGTGATGGTGAAACTGTGGCCATCCACTGATCCATGCTACAACTACAAACTTATCTGAAATTTTTTTCTAAGGTGGTTTTATGAGATTCCAGAGTCGCCCTTCAAGCTATTAACTTTCAGAGTGATTCCCACTTTTCAATTGTTGAATGCTATTTTGGTTTTTTTAACTTGCTGTTAAGTAATGACAGAGAGGTTATACTTCAATGGATTCCTACCCATTCCGGAATTCATGGTAATGAGGCAGCCAGTTTTTTGGCTAAGAATGGAGCTTCTGCCATTCAAACATCACAACCTGGTTTGTCCTGCAACTCCAATTATGTTAGTTGTTAGAAAAGCCCCCTGGGACTTCCTTTTCCAAGAATTCGTATATAGAAAGAAAAATAAACCATGATTAAGACACAATAACACTCTGAACAAATACTAATTCAGAAGTCAAACAACAAAAATCAGCATTGTATTTTCAAAATTTTCACCGGACTAGTTTTGATGGTTTTACCGAACCACCATCCTCAGCTGGAAAACTGCAAATGAACGAGATAGGATATAATGATTAGATAAGATAAGAAAACCTGGAGAAGAATAAGCAAGTGTTGCCATCTGTTGATGAAACCAGAACTAAAACATAATTTCTTTAAAGGCCGAAGGCAAAGATAGATTGGAATTAGGATTGTTAACCAGAACAGAAAGATTTTTTTGAATGATTTTTGTTGTTTGACTTCTGAATTAAATAAGCCATGGTTTAAAGAGATTTTTGAAGTACCCGAACGGCCTAAAAAAAAAATCTGTTGCATTATTCCATCTTATATCTAGCCACAACTGCCTTTGTAAGACCCTGCAATGCATCAGTGTTGCTCCCTACTCTCTTTGTCCCTAATGCAATCTTAAGGAAGACATGGACTTGGCACATCATTGCGAATGTCCTGTCCTTGCTTGTATTTTGATTTGGGAGCGCTATTGAGTGATGAGGAATGAATATACTGATTGAATACCTGACTTTATAAATATACTGATGTTGGTTTTCTTGTCTTTGTTTTGTATATTATTTGATGTTCATTTGTTTTGTAATGTGCCATTAGAAATAAAAAAAAAGAGTACATGATTTGTCTTATGTTATTTACTGAATACTGCATTGATATTCCTTAATTGTAAGTATGCATTGTTGTATCCAGGCATTGTACTTACTGCCAGGGACATGCAGTCATTGGAAGCAGGCAATGTTATAAATTTTTTGTGTATGTAAATAATTTTAGTGAAATTATATGTAAATTTGTAGCATGTTTGTAAAATATATCATAATAATAATATAATAATGCATAATGTAGCATGAAATGCCTCGAGAATGCAAACCTCCATCAGAAAAATAAGGTTACAGGGGCAAGTCCATTTAATATTAAGGTAAATAGCAATCTTGCCAAATTTGCGAGATAGCACAAATCTGGTGATGATTTTGCTGACTAATTTTTGTTGCTAAATTTGGTGATAAATTGCCAAATGTGGTGACTATTTCTGGAAGTTATCGTCTGATCCCTGCATGATTGTAATTGGTCTGATCCCTCTATATAACTGTAACTATATCCAGCCCTATGCGTAATTGTAACTGTAGTTGTATATACGTTCCAGCAATTTCAAGAAATTGAAGAATTTCAAAATTCAAGAATTGGAAATTTCGCATTGACTGCTAGAAAACTATTTAAGACTGAAGGGAACATAATTTATTAGTTCAGAGTCGACTTCGAAGTATTGAGAGATCTGCGTGTGAGCTTTGCTGTTTATATATGCTTTGCCTAGCATTCTGTTTAGCATTGTTAATAAAGTGGTAACTACTGATCATGCTCTGTCATACTGGGAAGATCTGTATGAGTACTTTTGTGAAAAGTTCTAGAACTGTAAAGTGTTTCTTTTGGGAAAATGAATTTTATCAAGCTACCATCACCTCTGCTTGCATTGGATGCATTATGAACCATTCATGTGCAAGAATATTGCTATATTTATTTTTAAGCCATTATAAAAACAATTCTAAAGAAGTCTCTTAAGTCTTATTTTTAATAATGAGGGGGATATTTATTTTGTTTGTTAACAGTTGTTGAAATTCGGGGAAATTTAAAATATGATTTCTGTGTATATAATTAGAAAGGATAATTCTGTTTGTGAAATTTTTCCCAATACATTATGTACCAGGAAATTTTTTATGCATTGATATTTTTTAATGTTATCTATTACCTATATATATATATATTCAAAATAAAAGTAATTAATATAATATATATTTATGTTTCACTTTTGCTTTTTTAAATTGTTAGATAACTTTATTGTTTTTCATGATTAATTTGTTATGCTAATAAATGTATAATATTGATTTCTTATCCAAATTCCAATTTTTTTTCATTATAGATTTGTGATGCTCATATGAACTCAGATATGATGTGGACAGCGCATATTCAAGGGAAAAGGCATCTAAAAGTAAGTATTTTACTTATAAATATTATAAGCTTATGAGTTTTTAATTAATTTTTATTATTGCATGATTCAAAAGTTGCTGCATTCTTTTACAGATAGCTATTCTGTTTATTTACTTCGGTTTCAAGAGCTTACATAAAAAAATTCTGTCAGTTTGCAAATAGGAATGAATCACTGAAGTTAGAATAATTTCTAACCTGACTAATCATTCTAATCTGTTACCTAGAATAATTTCATGAGTTCTTATTTGAAAAGCATTCTATCATGGAAATCACGAAGCAAACTTACTTATACATACATATTCGGAAAATACATAAGTATACATAAAAATTATGTATATGTATACCAGTTGACCCAAGAGACTGTTAACATTTGAAAATTCAATAATTCACTGAAAAATGCAGGTACAGAGGTAAAAACTGACACCACATGCTTGAAATGTTATAAGGTTTTATTGAAAGGACAAAAAAAAAAAAAAAAGGGGGGGGCAAGAGAAAGTGCTTTGTATGATAAAGAAAGCAATAATTAGCATAACAATTTATGTTTAGCAAAGACTATTTTATAGCAAATGTTTAACATGTCGGCCGTCATTCATCAATAATACCTGTAGTTGAAGGACAGTGTTGTGAACTGCACTGCATAGCAGGGATTCTCAACCAGTGGTATGCGAGAGAAAAATAAGGTGGTACCTAAAGAAACAAAGTATTGTGATGTTATTTATTAAATAAAGAAAATTGCACCTTTCGCTTTTCCATTCATCGTTAAGCTTTAGTTGCCAAAATAATCCCCCAAAACCTAAAAATTGTTTTGAATCAAGCTGTGAAAATTGTTAATTTTTATAAAAAGCCAAGCTTTTAAATTCAAAAATATTTATGATTTTATGCCACAAGATGGGCGATGAACATGAAACGCTTTTGTTACATTCTAAAGTAAGGTTTTCCTGAGGCAAAGTTTTAAATCATCTTTTTGAACTTTGACCAGAAATAAAATTTCCCTCTGTGACTCAAAATTTGAATTGCAAATATGTGTATTTATTAAATTATGGTTATTGCATTTAGCTGATATTTATGGAACGTTAAATGAATTAAGTTTAGGATTACAAGGATAAATAGTTAATTTAATTATCATTAGAGATAAAATAAATGCAATTATAAAAAACTTGAGCTAAAAATGAAAGCATTGGATAATAATATTTTAAGCTTTTTATCACTTTTAGAAAGTTTTCTCACCGAAAATAATTTGAAAATAAAAGAAATAGCATCCGGCATTAAAAATCATTGTTTTCCATTGATAAATAATTTAAACATGCATTTTCCCGAGGATTATGAAAAAGAAAATTGCATTAAAAATATATTTTGTTCAAATGTATGTAAAAGCTTATCTTGTGAAGGAAAAGAACAGTTGAGAGAGAAATTTCTGGTAATCGAACTCTTAACTGAAGATTTCAGAAATAACACACTTGTGAACTTTTGGCTGAATAGGAAAGAAGAGCTTAATGGCATATCAAATAAAACTATTATATGTTTATTGCGTTTTTGTACAACTTATTTATGTGGACAAGGATTTCCTTCAATGTTATATTTGAAAAATAATTACAGAACAAAATTAAAAGTGGAGCTTAATTTACGGTTAAAACTAAGTGAAATGAGATTAGACATAAAGCAATTGATCTCTCTTAAACAGGCCCATATTTCGCAATAAATTTTTTAATTAAAGTATTATAACTTATTTTGATAATTAAAATGGTAACCAATTTTTAATCTTATATTTTTTATGTGTGTGTATTTAATACAAATAGCCAGTAGGTTGTACATATGGCAATATATATATATATATAATTATATTTCTATTGAGAAATTGAAAAATAAACATTGTAGAATGTAGTGGTGGTACGAAAATTTTTAAATTTTTGTTTAGATGGTATTTTAGTCAAAAGGTTGGGAACCATGCTGTATAGCCTATCTGTACAAATTGAAATTGCTGTCGAATGTTGTCTTTTAATATCCCTAATGAGATCGGATGATCACAGTAGACTTACGATTTCAAGTAATGCCACAACCATTAACCACATTAATTGAGATCTGGGGACCTGAGAGGCCAAGCATGATGAAAGTGGCAACTCAGCATGCGATCCTCACCAAAAAATGTGCGCAAGAGGTCTTTCATGCATAGGGATGGAGTGCCATTTTGCATAAAAGTTCTACCTTCCAACAGGTGTTTAGTTTATCAGCCAAACTAGGGATGATGCGATTCTGCTATATATCAGAGTACCTCGTAGCTGTCACACTGACAGCTTGAATAGCAGAACCATGCATTTCCTCGAAGAAAAAGGGTCAGATGACGATTGATGTGATAAAATCCACATCACATCGTGACCAACATCTGGAAGCAAGGAGAGAAAAGTAACAAAGTCATGAAGGGACCAATTCCTTCTCTCACTAAAGCTCATTTCATACATGAATTTTATGCAGCATCACTGACATTTTACTACCCAGTGCTATATTTGCCCCCCCCCTTTTTTTTTTTTTTTTTTTTACTTTCAATAAAGCCCCATGTTATTTTAAGCATGTGTGTCAATTTTTAGCTCTCTACCTACACTATTCCATGAATTATTGAATTTTCAAATGTTTAATGAACTTAATGGGTCACCCGGTATGTTTGGGCGTGTTGTGTGTATTTTGGACTTAACATAAAGAGTCTGTTTACACTTTCTTTGAATGATTTTGATGAAAAGTTTAAAAGAAGCAGGTGGCTTGGAATAACAGTTTTTGGCAACATCTTATTTGAAATGAGAAATACCGTCTACTACTTTAAAATTTATTCTTGTTTCAAAATGTTGCATGTAAATAAGTTGTGGATTGAAAGATATGTCTTTGCATTTTCCAAAGAAATATATTCCTATTTCATAATTCAAAAATGTTATAAAATGCACATTATTAAATTTTCTAAGTGCAAAAAAAGCAACATTATTAAGCGGAAAGGGAAAATCATTACTTCTGCGTGGAAAGAAAAGTCCAAACGAATACCCAAAAATAATCCACGACTGGCCACTCACTTCTCCCATCACTTTCTTCCTCAGCTTCAGGGATCACATAGCCTCAAAATCTTCAGGATTACTGTGGACAGCGGGCATCAGAACTATCATAGAGTATGTCTATTCTAAGAGAAAATTAATAATAGATAACCAGGTCTAAGCACCTGACGAAATGTAAAGGCAGCAAGCCTCAACTCATATATATATATGTAAATATCTCTAAGCTAACTAACACTTTTTGCTAATTTTATATGAACATTCCCAAAAAAATTGTAAGTTGGAGCACCCAACAAAAGAAATAACTATTATTAAATCTGTTTATCTATAATGAGATTGAAAGGATAAACAACCAAAATAGGTTGCTGTAGCAATGATCAGAATAACATGACTGACCTGTAGTGCCCATTGAGGGGTGAAGCAGGCGGAATAATAATAAATAAATAAGTAAATACTGTTTCTAATGTTTGTAATGTTGAACCATTGGTAACAAGAGAAAATCCACTGACAAAGAAATATATTGTAAAGTTTTTAAATACATCTGTAGCAACAATAAATAATAAACAAAGATTTACAACCAGGAAAAGCTAAGAAACTTGATATTCACCAACATTTGCTGAGGCATGTGGGTTAGTGCAGAACAATTTGTAGAACCCTGTATGAAAACTATTTAACAGGAGATAAATAGAAATACATTATGACATTTGATGAAGCATAAGTTTACCTAAATAATAAACACACCCACCCACACCAAAAAAAAAAAAAAAAAAAAAAAAAAAAAAAAGTTCATACGAGTAGCTTCTAATCTTCAGAAATTCATTAAAAAAATTTTGAATAACTTCGAAAAAAGACCGCTTCCATAAATTTTTGCCACTAGCATATTTGAAGATATTTACTCAAAAGGCAAATTACTGTCTTTTGTGTCACAAATGTTAGAGCTTCTTCGATGGGCATGCGGAATATTGTTATCATGGGTAAAAGCAACGATCTTAAGCAAGTTTTGATAGCATACAAACCAATGGCACTCGGAAGAGCAAATGCTCTATATCAGCAACTGCTAAACTTCTCGACACGTCACGCAGTAGTGTATCACAGCTGTACCAGCAGTACATCAAAAGCGGAAAAACTGGATTGAGTCATGCAAAACAACGCCATAAACAAGCGACTGTTGCGCGAAGTACTCCGAGATTTAACTGTATCATATCTATGGTAAGAAGCATTTAACACCAGATCATGCCACATTTTAATGCGGGTAATTCTTCAGCATCTGCACAAGGACTGTACATCAGCTAAATATATCAGTGAAAACAAGGGCAAAAATCAACTAATACCTATATACAAAAATCATCATGGTAAAGGAAAAAAATCTGAAATGTTTTGGATTTTAAATTACGTCTAAAGGGGCATTTTTTAACATTTTGCCTGTTACTTTTATTTATTAAATATCAGGTTCTTTGCGCTTAAACCATAAAATTCAGTTTAAGAGCAATATCGCAAAATAGTTTTAAATTTAGCATATCTTTAGAATTTCTGATACAGAGTCTTGTGCGCTGGATATAATTTTTTTTTTTTTTTTTCCCCTTTACAAAATTGCCAATGCTCACTTTGAAATCCTTGCGTTTGTTAATCAAAAATTCGTTAAAGTTTTACAAAATAGGAAATCGATAATAAAACAGGTTTCAAATTTGGGCTTCCACATGTTCATATTCGCAGTAAGATTACATCATTCAAAATTCAATGGCTTTATGTACCGTTGTTTTATTACAATGCGAGAAACTTACATACATTATTGCAGATTTTTCCTTATTTAATTTCTTCAAATATAATGCAGGACTCTTTACATTTTGTGGCACCAGTTTGAAAAGTGAAACTGACATTTATAGTGAACCAATGCAAAATCGCAAAACGAAAGCAATAGTCCTACAGGCACAAGGAAATGAAGAGGAAAAAATGCATAAACCTGGTTCTGCCA